TGTTTGGGTTTCACCATCGCGTGTGGTTATGTATGAATACCATACAAACAGTTATAGTGTAGGTATTTCCATTGTTAAGCTTTAACTGTGTAGTTAGGAGTTAACTAGACTGCTGTCAAGGTTAAGTTTTAGTTGACGCGGTTTTTTTAAGGGAGGTAATCATTTAATTACTTCTCCTATCTACTATCCTAATGTATAATGCACGCGACCACAAAGCCTGTAGTACAGATTTAATTCTATACAGGCATAGTATTGTAACCTACCTAGAATAATTAAATAAAAAGCTTAAATTAAGTATCTGTGAACAAAATGGAAATAAATATATTTGTTTGTTTTGTTTGTTTGTTTTGTCTCCCGCCTTGAGATAAGCGAGAGGAAGTGTCAGAATCTTGCTGACTAAAAACCACTCCTTTCCTATTCTTACTCTTCGAGCCGGAACCCCGGCCTGTTAAACCTGTTAGGCCTTCTGCGGCTTCGTATAGAGCATCAGCTCTTACTTGACGCAGCTAGATTGTGGATTCCTCTTTGTACAGTAGCCAGCACAACAACCTACTTCATTAACCAATTTTAAACTTTGTATTTTCAACTTAACAACTGAACGATAGAGTTGAAAATCAAATAAGGAAATTTGACAGAACTGAGTATGTTGACCTGCTACCCACTGTACTTGCCTCATTCTCTATTAAAATAGCTAATGATTCAATTTTCGGATAACTATTTGACTAGTCAAATAATCAGCAGCCTGTAAGTACCAACTGTTAAAGGCCTCTTCTCATATAGAGAAGGTATGAGTATTAATCACCACGCTTCATTATCATCATCATCAACAGCCTATAAGTGGCCACTGCTGAGCAAAGCCTCATCTCACACGGAGAAGGTTAGAGCATTAATCACCACGCTTGCTCAATGCGGGTTGGCAATTTTAAACTTATAATTAGAAATTATAAGTCCAGGTTTCCTCACGATGTTTTTCCTTCACCGTTTGTCAGTGGTGTCTAAATTTTAATAATCTTAGTAAGTACATATAACTCGAAAAAGTCACATTGGTACATGCCGTTGGTAGGTTTTGAACCTGCCAGCCGAAGACGCCCGCTTCTCATGCATGAGAGTGCCTTATCCATGAGAAGCGAGCGTCTTAAGCCTCCGGATCACAACAAGACATGTACCTACTTTAAGAACCTCTTACTTCAAAGTCGGTTAGTAAAATCGAGTCACAGTGATAGTGAGTGAATGACAATGAGTTAATACATGTCAAACTGTCACGCTATAGAAGAAATATCTTGACATATGACATGGTCCCATAAACGCGTTGAAAGCTATAAAATCGAATAGTTTTGGTAAGAAGTCACGCTATTTTGTTTTGCATAGACTCTAGTGGTTTATATTTACGAATGTGGATCAATAAAGTGGTTTTGAATAAATTTTAAGGACCGGGGAAGAAGTAGGAATAGGTTTTTCTAAAAAAAATGTAAATAAATCGTAAATTATCTTGCTATTGGTTTCCGTAATGATATTTTTGATTATATTTCAATGTAAGTAACTCGTTGTCAATTCTATGTCGTCGTATAACATAATATAACATAACAACACACCTTTTATCCTCGAAGGGGTAGATAGAGGTTCACATTATGGCACTTAATGCCAATGTACAATGCAACACCTACTTTTCACTATTTATGTTAAACTATATTAAAGAAGGACCAAATTAAAAGTACGCTTAATTGATGAGCATGTATGAAAAGATTAATGACTGTGGAGGAAGCCAAAGAGGTATGTAGGAATCGTAGAAATTCCTTAGTCTCTGCCTACACCCATGGGAGACAGGCGTGAAGTTATGTATGTATGTACATATGTATGTATATTGTGAGTCCCATGTAATAGGGGGTGAGCTTATTGCCATATACCGGGCACAATTCCAGACTCCGTGCTACTACTGAGATTTTTTTTTAAATCCAGTAATACTTTTCCCGGGAGTCGAACCAGAGATCCCGGCAGCCTCACATGCGAGCGCTCTGCCATCGTATATCACTATCCTTTAAATTATTGTTGGCGTCATTATTAAATAATTTATTTTAAAGTCTCTGTTAAAGATCAGACAGATCATATCATGTGCGACAACCACGCAAGTTGATTCTGTAGTGGTATTTTGAGCAAAGATCCACAACAATTTGAACGGACCAGGGTGCTTACTCTTGAAACCAATATCAATGTCAATGTAATTTCAATCCAATAAAGTCTCAATAATTATTCAATGTCAAAACTATACTAACCATATCGTAGCTGTTAAAATAGCATTCAGAATTTCAGATTACAGAATATAAGGCGAAACTCAATACCATTTAGTTCATTAAATATCTACGCAATACGGATGCAATGGGCGCTAGTGTTTCAACTCAAGAGTAAGAATTTTCACAATACTAATGTCGATAGATCGGAATTGGATTCCAGAGTAAGCCCCCTGTTCAGATAGCAGCATGTATGTGTCAGTTTCCAATCAGCTCAAGTAACGATACAAAGCAAAAGAACATTTGTGTAGGCCGCATAATAATTTCATTACTAAAATTAACTGCCTGCTTCGTTGGCCGAGTGATCTCAAGTGCGACTGCCGGACAAAGGGTCTCGGGTTCGATTCCCAGGACGGGCCAAGTATTATTGGGTTTTTAAATATTTTCAGAAGTAGCACGGAGTCTGGAATTGTGCCCGGTATATGGCAATAGGCTCACCCCCTATTACATGGGACTCATAACATGAATAGTGAAAAGTAGGTGTTACATTGTACAGTGGTATTATGTGCACTTCTGCCTACCCCTTCGGGGATAAAAAGCGTAATGTTATGTTACTAAAATAAATGTAAAAAGATTTCAATACACATCTTAAACAAAATATAGATTTTTTAAATCTCTGTCCAGCCCTTATCACAATCAAAGCGCAATACAACACTTTGTGTGATCCACAAATTGTTGTTCCGGGTCTGGGTGTCATTGTGTATGTGAACTTGTATGTTTGTAAACGCACCCACGACACAGGAGAAAATCCTAGTGTGGGGCAAGGTTTTTTTTAAAAAAAAAATACATCAACAATCACAACCTATACCATTACGAGGCATATTTCTTCGTCGTTCCAATAATATTGGCGGTACTTGTACTAAATTCAAGTCATGTCAATAAAGCAACAAGTGGGCTTTCTTATTAATGCTCGCTCATTTGCCAAAAGATGTTTTTTCACTTTCCGGTACCGTGGTGGGGACGGCACGGCTTATTTTGTGATTCCGGTTATCGGTAGTTCAAGCTTTTTGAGGTTTGTTGGTAAACGATCCTGATTGTAGTTAACAGCACGCCTTTTATCCCCGAAGGTGAAGGTATCGGCAGAGGTGTATATTATGCCTACAATGTAACACCCACTTTTCACTATTTATGCCATGAGTGCCATGTAATCCCCTATTACATATTGCCATATACCGGGCACAATTTCAGACTCCGTGCTACTGCTGAGAATTTATAAAATCCTAGTAATACTTTGCCCGACTCGGGAATCAAACCCGAGACCCCTTGCTCCGCAGTCGCACTTACGACCACTCTGCCAAGGAGGCAGTCGATTGTAATTAGTATAATTGTGTTTCTATGACCATGTCTTTGAACTTAATATTAGAGGTATTATCGAAGGTATAATATTTCCTCTTTAAAACTAGTAATTTGTTTATTACACTAGGTACATATAAAACGAAAGAACTAGGTATATATACTAAACCATTGTAAATTATCTTACTATGTGCGATTTATTGTTATAATATATGTGACTAACACGATCACACCTGAACCTAAACTTCTTTGACATACGAAAATTTTAAAAATGAAAACATTAGTCAATATTTCCGTAATACTAAAACTTTATAATGCTTTCAAAATCCACGAGGCATCAATAACTCACTATATATACTCACACCTTCAAAAATTTACCTCCGAAAAATACCCCACAGCAAAAATTACCTTCTTCCCAACAAAGGCCGTATTCTATCAAATTTTACAGCCTCAAAGATGTTATCGAATGTCACGCCACGACACCCGACACAGGAAAACAGAAATCACGACAGGGTTGCGTGTGAACACGTTTGTGGTCGTAAACTCACGACACTCTAGTAAAAAGCAACCTTTAGCGTTGAATTGATATCTTTTGGTGAGAAAATGAAGATTGAAAAACCGATCATTAATATTTTTGAAGCAAAGATTGGCGTACATCATTCCTAATTAAGCTATACACTATGGCGTAGAATATATGATGGCTTGGAGGTCTAAGACTCTTGTCTCTCATGCATGAGAGTGCGGATTCGAAACCTACCAAAGTGACATTCTCCGTATGCTTTCTAAGATTATTTATACACCACTGACATTCGGTGAAGAAAAACATCGTGAGGAAACCTAAACTTACAATTTCTAATTATAAGTTTGAAATCGCCAACCCGCATTGAGCAAGCGTTATGATTTATGCTCAAACTTTCTCCATGTGAGAGAGCCTTTGGTCAGCAATGGCCACTTATAGAAAGAAAGAAAGAAAGAAGATAGAAAGAAAAACCATTTGGCTACGACACACAACAAGAATTTTATAGGGTGTTGATGTGTGATGTGATGGCGTAAAATACCGTTTTCCTAACTAATTACAATATTAAAGGAAGAAGAAATTCCTAAACTGACCCTAAGAAATATGTCCAATGTCCTATGATCAACAGCCACGACGCAGTCTACGACCGGACTCTGAGTCTCCTCTAAATATATAAGAAAGTTTGTTATATTCTCCACACTTGAGAGACTAGTTGGAGATCGCAAATTAAATGGTCCAAGTTTATTAGACACAGTTTCTACCGGATCCTTGTCAAACATATATTCAGCTCTAATAACATCCCCGTCAAGTAATAGACACATTCAAAACAAAAAATAGAATCGAATTATAACGCAACTTCTTCTTAAAATCATATAAATATAAATATTCCACAAAAATCCACATACCCTTTGAGCCTTTCTCTTGTCAGCGCGCTGGTTCTGATGGTAGATTCTGGAGAAGTTGGACACGATGACGGGCACAGGGAGGGCTATCACCAGCACTCCGGAGAGGGAGCACACTCCTCCCACGATCTTACCAGCTATCGTGCCTGGTACCATGTCTCCGTACCTGAGGAAGAAGAGAGAAGAAATTAAGAAAATTGTTTAAAAACACTGTTCAGTGATAAACTTTATTAAATTTCCAATAAAAACTTAAACGATATTAAAACTAACTATTACTAAAATAATAATAAAATATAAACAACTTAAGATTAAAATTATATGAAAGAAAAACAAAAACAAGTGTTCAGTTGTTTTTTTTTTGTATCAAAAAACATGAGATCGAATCAAAGCTATTCAATATTTTAATATATAAAATAATTTTAGAACAAAACGTCACGCACGCTGCGTATAATTAAGAGCCTCGGTTTCTTTTGAAACTAGTTGAACATGCTCCAATATGGCAGGTATGTGAATTTACTATTTATTATAATAATTATTAATTCAGTGTATCGGCCAATAGTTGATTCAAGGACGTTGAAAAAATGGAGGACGTAATGTCACTTGGAACTGATTGAAGCACCATCCATCACTACATAGTATCAAACGCCATCCACCGTCTGTCTGTCCCAATGTGTGCTTAGATCTTTAAAACTACGAAACGGATTTTGATGCGGTATTTTTTAATAGATAGAGTGATTCTTAAGAAAGGTTTTTATGTATAATATATGCATATTGCACCCTTGCGAAGCCGGGGCGTGTCGCTAGTATAATATAAAATAAAAATAAATGTGCCTCCGGTAACCTCACTCACACGACGAAACACAACGCAAGCGTTGTTTCACGTCGGTTTTCTTTGAGGTCGTGGTATCACTCCGGTCGAGCCGGCCCTTTCGTGCCGAAGCATGGCTCTCCCACATTAATCACATACTACATTTTTAGACACGAACATCATACAGCAACAAAAATAAAAAAAACACATTTACTACTAAACTCATAACCTAACTATAAACCCATAACAATTAATTTATAAACAAACAGCATCACGCTTTATTCGAAAACATATCGTTCCACTATTTTACAGTCTCACTATAAAGATCCAAGCGTAAATCCTTTGTAACCGATTATGATGCGCTTGCGCAAGTTTTAGTAATCTTACGAGAATATGTGTTATTATTACATGAACTGTAACAGTTCATTAGTGTGTATTTCCGTTAAAAATGTTTGTTTGTTTGTTTGTTCGTCTGTGTGTCTAATTGGAACAATGATGTTTTATAGTTTTAGAAGCTTTGGTTATTTTGGTTGTCTAATTAAATAGACATAAACATAACATCACGCCTTTTATCCCCGAAGGGGTAGGCAGAGGTGCACATTTTACCACTGTACAATGTAACACCCACTTTTCACAATTTATGTTATGAGTCCCATGTAATAGGGGGTGAGCCTATTGCCATATACCGGGCACAATTCTAATTAAATAGACTTTCGGATAATTTTAGGTTTATCTGAATCTAACAGTTCCTTAGTTCCTAAATAACTAATAAATTAACTAAAAATTGCGGGTTAATTACGTGATGTCGGTCAGTAGACTGCGCGACATCGCCGCGACCACGCACGCTGCTCATGAGGAAGAGCCCCCTGTGGCTCGAAACTAGTAGAGCTTTTCTCAGTATATTCAAGTGAGTAACCCGCGATTTTAGTTAGCATATGAATATACATACGATACACATACCGAAATATTTTTAGACAATTTTTATATGTATCTCTGTGTGTTTGTACTGGTTCATCTCTGGAATGACTGGACCGTTTTTGCAAAACTTTTATTGGCAGATACCTGATGCCATATGCTATTATTAAGGAAAATATAAGCAAAAACAAAGTTATGTCCTAAAATTCGTATTCTACGCGGACGAAGTCGTGGACAACATATATAATATATATTGTGTCAAGTAAGCCATTCCTCTCAATAGCCTGATAGCGGAGAGCCACTTCAGTAGCCCTCGTGTGACTCAAGGGCTATAAAAAGAAAGTAGTGCTTGACACGGTGTTGTATGAAGGCTATATTCTGAAATAGTTTCGGGGCTTTTGTCCAGAAGTGGGATGTAGGGGGTAAATAATTCAAATGGATGAAAGTGTATACGAGCAATATGCAAACTAAAGGTAACGGATAGTTGTCAGCCATACTTCCGGAAGCTGAAAATTTTAACTCTGCCATGTCTATATATTTTTGAAATTGCTGTTTTTGTTAAAAGTAATATGCAGATGTTTGATAAGCTTACTAGTACCAGATATAGAGGCAAAATTAGAAGTATTCCTAGTAAGTCTGCCTTAATGAGTAAGAGTGTTTTTTGCATGTTATCCAAGATATACAACAAACTGCCATGTTGTATTTCAGAAATTGGGAACCTCAACTTGTTTAAACTGAAATTAAAAGAATTTCTTAATAACAAAGTGTACTATACTGTAAAAGATTATCTTGAGGGGAATCCTTATGGTCAATAATTAATTTAATTTATTTGACATTGCTTGTGTGACATTCTATAATATAATTGGCAATTATTTTTTTACATTATATATTTAAATGACATTAATTTTTTGACTTCAGTGGTATGAATAATTATAATCTCTGTGACATTACTGTATTCTAAATAATTCAATTCAATGGACCTAATTTTATTATGTAATTATTTTTAAAACATATCTTTGCATGCCAAGTTAAGGCAAAATATGGAGAAACTATAAACTTTGTTAACACCTATATATTATGTACCCATGTTTGCAAATGATTAAATGAATATGAATATGAATATGAATATGAATATGGATGACAATACGTCGAAAACTATTTTTTTGTTATACATGGTGTAAACGGAACGCTCAAGAAAAACGCTGATAGATTATGGTCAAAAACCAGTTTTATTTTCAACGATATTATTTATTTATTTTATCCGATACGACCTTCAAACCTTCAAGAAAAGAGCGTATTCCTTTTTAAAAGGCCGGCAACGCACCTGTGACTCTTCTGGTGTTGCGGGTGTCCATGGGCGGCGCTGATCGCTTACCATCAGGTGATCCGTCTGCTCGTTTGCCTCCAATTCCATTAAAAAAAAAATGAAAGTAAGGTATTAAATGTTTCCTTTATGTAATAATTGTTGTAATTAACCGCTCAAGGCTGACGTTTTATGAATAACATGTTAACAACAACGATTAAAATTTTAAATACTATTATTTTTTGTCAGCGTTTTTCGGGAGCGTTCCGTTTACACCCTGTATGTGTTGTTTCTTGAAGAACAAGCAAATACATGTGTTTGGTTAGTATTCTAGTAAGATTGCAGACTTTGAGGTGAATGTAAGTATTTTCTATGTATAATAAATATAATAGATAAATATTCTTGCTATTACTGGGTTTTTGAACATTTTCTCAGTAGTAGCACGGAGTCTGGAATTGCGCCCGGTATTACGGCTCACCCCCTATTACATGGGACTTATAACATAAATATAAAGGATGTCAGGATGGTGTCGACACGTCTAACATTTAAGCAGAAAGTACGTGAGCTTCTCTTGAAGAGGTTGGCTGAATCGTCACAATAATTATTTACAGAGTATTAGTAATTATGTTCATATTTATATTATATGCTATGAGTCTATGTATGTATGTATGTATGTATGTATATTGTAGTGTATATTGTAGTGTAGGTATATATATTATTATTATATTTATTTATGTTCATATTTGAAATATGTTAGTATAATCTTCTATTTTCTCAATTAAATCGTTGCTTGCTTCTTGCTCCTACCATTCACTCTTCTCTGCATCACCCAAAGGTCAGACTGGGAGAAAATGCCTGCGGCATTAAGTCCACCTTGTGTACACCTTGTGCATGAAGCGTTAATAAAATAAAATAAAAAAAAAGAGTGGGTGTTACATTGTACAGTGGCAGAATGTGCACTTCTGCCTATACCTTTGGGGATAAAAGGCATGATGTTATGAAGATGATGATCTAATGAGATTGCAAGCTTTGAGGGGACTTATATATTTTATCAATATATACAGATAAATTAAATGAGATTGTCTGTTTGTAATATTAAAATAACCGCTTCTTACTACGACATTTTTTTCTGTCTATCTATCTGTTTGTACTGGCTAATCTCTGGAATCGCTAAACCGCTTTTAACGGGACATTTATTGGTAGGTAGCTATTCTACTAAGGAGTAACATAGGCTACTTTTGTTTTGAAAAATTTAATGAAACAAGTTATGTCTTAAAGCTCATATTCTACGTGGATAAAATCTCGGACAACGGCTAGGATGCTTAATAAATTTAATAATATTTTTGCCTAACTAAAGGTGTCAATCTGGAACATTGTACAAATCAAGAAATGAAATTCAAAAATCTCCATCAAAATAATTAAAAACATCATCTTAGTTAAAATTTAAAAATCTTGATAATTTATTAGCAAAACGTAAAATTTTGTCAAATAATAATTTGTTATTGGTCATCCCAATCAAGACATCAAAAAACAAAAAAATATTTAATCTTCAGCAACAAAAGTTGCATCACGCCATTGACAATTTCGCTCTGATTAAAAAAAAAGTAAAATTCAATATGGCCGTCGAAAGGAAGCGGGAGACGTTAAGCGAAACCTAATAACGGACAGAAAGCTGCGGCTGTAATATTTCTTTTCTTTTATCCGGCCATTTTTATATTTGAGGCTTGTGACAATGGTGTCACAGAAATGGCGGGTTCCTATTTAAAAAAATGTCATCAATGGTTTTAATTATGAGTGTTTTTGATATGAGAAGACGTTATGGCAGGAAAATAAATGCTTTTTTTTTGGGGCAAGCCCGCCACAACCTCCCACAACCGCTGCAACTCCTATAAGTCAGGATCTACAGTAGATACAACCATGAAAACACCGGAACACTGAAGTCCGGCGCGTCCCAGGGACATGAATAACTGTCTTGGTTCCCGCAACGAAGTGAATCAGAAGATATTATAAGAGGAGAAGAAAAAAACAAAAGTTCTTCTTCCACTTCCCTCGAAAAGAAAAATGCTTCGAAATATTATAGTACTTCATCCTTAATGTGTCTTCAAGGCCCAAGTGAATAGGTTGCTTATGGGACGACGTGCTCCATCGTAGACCGCATCATCGCTTACCACCAGGCGAGATAGTGGTCAAACGTCGGCCCATAAATATATAAAAAAGTTTAGTTGTTTGAAAGTGAGCTTGGCTGTCTGATTATCTATCATTAGTTCACGTTGTGACGGAACGATTTTTATGCCAAAAGATATTTCAGAAGGTTGTAAAGTTGTACAGGTTTCTTTTTCTTCTTTAACCTCGTGAGAGAAGCCACGGCAAACAAATACTCATAATTAATGTAACAAGCCGAAAGTAGCTATAACCTGAGTGCAAGAAAGTAAAGAACAAATCGACCAACCCAAGAATGTCGTGTCTGGTCTACTAAACGTACTCCAGTCTCTTTGATAACCAGTCGCATAATACAGACAATCAATAAGACAAAAGCAACTACTAACAATTAGATGAAATCATTTCTAAAATAAACCAAAGAACAGGAATAGAGAAAAACAAAATAATTTCAGTCCCCAACTCCATTTAGCAAGCAGCTACATTTCTATCTAAGTCTAGATACATCTATTTGACAGGTAACAGGTCTAGATTTAACACAGGCTAACCCCCAGCCGGCCTATAAACACTAATTTGGTACCTAGACGGTGAATAACCCTATTGCAGTCCATATTTCATGTGCTATTTTTGTTTGATCAAATATAGACTTTTAAATTAATTGTGCATGTATATGGTAATAGTTTAGTATTATTTTTTTTTTAGTTTTATTAGGACACATACATAGGTTACATCTCATTTTTATCCCCGAAGGGGTAGGTAGAGGTGTACATTACGGCACTTAATGCCATT